CCCACCTGCCTCCCCTGCCCCGCCTCCCTCGCCCTCCTCTCCAGCCCTGCTGGACGGGGGCGCCCCAGGGTGGACCGGGCAGGGTGAGGCTCCCAGGACACCGGGCCGGGCTCACGTGCAGAGCCCCAGACATGGGGTGCCCGGGAGCCCTCAAGACCGCCCCAGGACTGCCACCGGCTCCCTGAAACCCAAGTCTGCCAGCCCTCAGTCTCCCCAGACCCAGCCCCGACCCGGGGTCCCTGACGCGGGGTCCCCACAAGGCCTCGGAGCAGTGTTGCAGGGCGTGGAAGGCCCCAGAGGCCCAGGAGGCGCAAGCTCGGGGGAGTCGTTCCTGCCTGGGGTGATAGGCCGGGGGAAGGGAGGGCAGGGGCGGTGCCCCTCCAGGCCAGGTCAGGCGCAGCCGCCCCAGGGCCGGAGGGGGGGCCCACAGGCCCCTCCAGGCCCCGCTCCTGGCTCTGCACCCAGGGGCCCGCGGGCTGGGGCCAGTCCCTTCTCCAGCCGCAGGGCAGGGCTGGTCCTCTGGGGGTGAGCCACACTCCCAAGCCAGGCTCCTGGGAGCCCACTGTGGGTGCCTCTCCCAGCCAGGACGGGGGGTGCGGAGACCCCGCCTATTCCAGGCTTTTCCCAGGGCGTCTGGAGTCGGAGGGTGGGAAGGGGGGCGTGCGGCGCCCGTGGAGAGGGGAACTCAGCGCTGGCGGGCAGAGCGGCGGGCGGGGCACCTGGGCGGGCGGCCGGGCTGCCCAGCCCCTGTGCCATTAAGGGGACAATGGGCGACTGCGCTCTGCTTTCTTCATTTCCTCGCTGTCTAATGTCATCTTGATGATAATTTCTCTTTAATGGGCTATTTGCGATAATTGTGATGCACTGGGTGAGTGATTGGATCTGACTCCAGCGCCCCAAGGGGCGGGAGCCTGGGCCTCCAGCCCCGGTCACCGACTCTCGCTGGGCCCCGCCCCAGAGGAGCAGGCTCCAGGTGGCCCCCAGAGCCGATGGGCAGCCCACGGGCCGCGCGGGCAGCGCCTGCCCGCAGCAGCCCCCAAGTGCACTGGGGTGCCTGAGTCCGACAGGACCTTGACGCTCGGGGGAGCATCCTTGCAGGCTCCGGGGCCCGCCCTGCCCTGCCGTCCCCTCTGGCAGCTTCCTTTAGCTCACTGGGCTGGCTCTGAGCTTGCCCACTCGTGTCCCCAAGGGATACCCCAGAGGGCAGACCCCTCATCTCTGTGGCCGCCACCACCGTCACCTGGGTCACTCGGGGGCTGCAGTCCGCCCGCAGTACAGGTAACGCTGAGGCCAGAGGTGGACTGAGCTCAGGGCCCTCCGGTCAGGGCGAGGATGGGGAGATGCCCCCAGACAGGAGGGGGCTCCGCGCACCACCCTGCTCACCGGCTGTGCTGCAGCAGGACGCCAGGGCAGGGCAGGTCTCCTCTGTCTTTTCCGGTCAATGAACCTCAGCCCCGGGCTCTGGGGGGGCGGCGCTGCCCCCCATCATTAAGCACACGCGCCTCACTAATTGAGTGGCGGGGATGCCAACGAGCAGCGTGGCTGGGACTGGAGGAGGGTGAAGGGCGAGCTGCGGCAGCTGGCTGTGCCCTGCCCTGCCCGCCCAGCCGGGCGCCCCTGCCGCAGTCCAGCTCCCCGGCCTCGGGCCCACCCCGCGTGTCCGGTCCCTCTTATTTCTCTCTGCCCCCCGGACAGGACAGGCGCCGCTGCTGTCTCCTCAGCACCCCCACCTGAAGGTCAGGGGGTGCAGCTTGGGCGACCCAGGCACGGGGAGCCCCCCTCCAGGCGGCCTTTGGCAAAGGCTGGTCCGGAAGCCTCCCGCCCC